TGGAACTCACTTGGTAGCCCAGGCTGGCCTCGAACTCACAGAGATCCGCCTGGCTCTGCCTCCCGAGTGCTGGGATTAAAGGCGTGCGCCACCACCGCCTGGCTTATTCTGTGGTTCTTGTTTTTTGGTTTTTTGAGACAGGGTTTCTCTCTGTGTGTAGCCCTGGATGTCCTGGATCTCACTCTGTAGACCAGGCTGGCCTCGAACTCACTGAGATCCACCTGCCTCTGTCTTCCAAGTGCTGGAATTAAAGGTGTACACCGCCATGCCTGGCCTAAAATTGACTTCTTTGCACATGATAGATACTGGTAATCATTTGTGGTCTCACTGGACTTGTGTTTGACTGACATTTTTTTTTTTCTCAGATATTTCTTCTTGCTGGTAGGAAGCGGAAAAAGAGCAAAACATCCAACTACCTGGTCTCCACAGACCCGACAGATTTGTCTCGTGAAGGGGAAAGTTACATTGGCAAACTCAGGTGATGAATCCTCAGGTCACCAACCTAGTCTTTCCCTAATTCCTGTAATTTCAGAATAATTGCTTTTTTCTTCTTTTTTCCACCCTCCCCCCCCCCATTCTCTTCTCTGTCACTAGGGCCTGAACCTAAGGCCTCATACATGTTAAGCAATTGCTTTACCACTGACCACATCCCAGACCTTTGCTATTGTTGTTTGTTTGTTTGTTTTTAAATGATTCAAATACATAGATGTGTTAATCTGAAAAAGAAAAAAGTTAGCTGGGCAGTGGTGGTTTATGCCTTTAATCCCAGCACTTGGAGGCAGAAACAGGCGGATCTCTGTGAATTCAAGGCCAGCCTGGTCTACAAATCAAGTTCCAGGAAAGCCAGGACTATTACACAAAGAAATCCTGTCTCAAAAAACCAAAAAAGAAAAAAGTTAAAAGAAAATCTTGAGGCCAGGCATAATGGCACACACGTTTAATTCCAGTATTTGCGAGACAGAAGCAGGTGGATCATGAGTTCTAGGCTAGTGATAGAGAGATCCTGTCTCAATAACTAAAATAATAACAATAATTTATTTTTATTAAGTTATTTAATTGTTAATAAATTATTATATTCCTTTAAATAAAAATTTAAAAGAAAGAAAATCTCGGGCCAGGCATAGCGGCTCATGCCCATCCTCCCAGTACTTAGGAGACTGAAGCAGGAGGATTTTGCCCACAAGTTCAAGGCCAGCCTAGGACATAGAGGAAGACTCTATCTGAACAAATAAGAAAGGGGAATCTCAGCTCTTCCTTGTGATGTGAGGTCTTTGAAAAGATGGTGTCCGGGCTGCTGTTTGGCTAGCAGGCAGACAGGTGTCCCCTGACCTTGTCTCAAGAGGAAACTGCAGATCATCATGGTAGCTTTTTCTCCTGATACTAGATCCAATCTCATGGGGACCAAGTTCACAGTGTATGACCATGGTGTCAACCCAGTCAAGGCCCAGGGTCTGGTGGAAAAGGCCCACACCCGCCAGGAGCTGGCCGCCATCTGCTATGTAAGTGACGCCCCCAGGCCCCCCCCTCTGCCTCCCTGTGCGCCAGCCAGGCCCAGAGCCCGCTCTTCTTCCTCTCTTGGTGTTTCTGATCCCCTTTGGGAGCTGCCATCCTTCTTGTGTTTGAGTTTTAACTGGATGTGGATCACCAAGCTCAGTTCCTATTCTCCACTAAGCTCCCTTCTCTTCCTGATGGCCAGAGGCTGCAATAAACAATAGGTTAAAATTAAAGCCATCTCTTGCATCTAACCTTTCCCTTCCCTCCTTTCTCTTTCTTCCTGCTTTTCTTTCTTTCTTTCTTTCTTTCTTTCTTTCTTTCTTTCTTTCTTTCTTTCTTTCTTTCTTTCTCTGTCTCTCTCTCTCTCTCTCTCTCTCTCTCTCTCTCTCTCTGTCTCTTTCTCTC